CAACAGCTCCATAAAGTGGATTTTTCTTTATTTAATATTTTAGCACATAAATTCAGTCTGACGAAGAGCAGAAGTGGGTTTTCCTCTGTGGGTAATGCTTTCATATTAATGCTGTTTTCAGCAAGTGCTTTTACAAATATAGATGATGATGATGATGAGGCTTTTACTTTGGTAGGATACTAGTGATTTACAGCAGTCTGAATTAGCATTTTAGCTACATTTTTAGATTAAACTATCAGATTTCAAATTTTAGATGTAATTTATGAAAAAAATTATAAATGTTTTTATTAATCAGTTTTATTGATTTAAAGATTTTGTTTTACCATCATTTAAAGGTGTGGTGGGATCACTCTGAGTTTGTCATGCAGGCTGAGCATGAAGATAGTCTCCTACACCTATCTCCTGCATCAGCTTCTGATAGAAAATAGACGGTGAAACTCTAGGATTAGAAAATCCTGATAGATCTACGTCCCACTGTCACTAACATTCATGAACTCGCCCATCTGGACCCACGACGGGAAGGCTGTGTAGTGCAGTGTACATAGGTTAGTTTAAGCTAATCGTTAGCTTTAACGACTTCACTTTGGCAGATAGAGCTGCCAACTCTCACACATTAAGCCTGAGACACACGCATCTGGCCCTCTTTTCCAAATTGGGAGACTATTCTGTTAAATAGGATGAAGTCCAATCCTTCTTATATACAAATATCAAACTGTCTCTCTGACATATCAACATGGATGAAATCCCACCATCTCCAACTCAACCTCTCTAAAACTGAACTACTTGTCATCCCAGCAAAACCATCCATACAGCACAATATCTCAATCCAGAATGACTTCCTATCTCTGGCTCCTTCAAAGGCAGTTCGAAATCTGGGTGTTGTGATTGATGAACACCTGAGCTTTAAAGATCATGTTGCCTCTGTTGCTCGTTCGTGCCGCTTTGTGCTGTATAACATACGAAAGATCAGACCGTACCTAACACAACATGCCACCCAGCTCCTGGTGCAATCTACTGTCATCTCCCACCTCGACTACTGCAATGCCCTTCTAACTGGTCTTCCAGGCTGTACTGGGAGACCTCTTCAAATGGTCCAGAACGCAGCGGCGCGTCTGGTCTTCAATCAGCCTAAAAGAGCACACGTCACCCCTCTGTTCATTGAGCTCCACTGGCTACCGCTAGCTGCATGCATCAAATTCAAATTGCTAACACTAGCATACAAAGTCCGAGATGGTACGGCTCCCATCTACCTGAATCCTCTTGCAAAGGCTTACGTCTCAGCCCGGCCGCTCCGGTCATCACAGGATGGTCGGCTAGCAGTGCCTACACCACGCTCAGGACAATCCAGACTCTTCTCATGCATCGTTCCACAAATGTGGAATGACCTTCCAAGCACTACCAGAACAGGAGCTTCCTTTTCAATTTTCAAGAAACTCCTGAAGACCCTGCTCTTCAGAGAGCATCTTCTAAACTAGCACCCTCCCTGCACCCGTCCCCCCTCTCTACTGTCCACTCCTTGTTCCCTCCTCTCCATGACTGATGTCAATGTTGTTGTTGTTGTTGTTGTTAGCCTCAAGGACAACATGCCGGTTATCACTTGTAAGACGCTTTGGACAAAATCGTCTGCTAAATACATAAACATGAACATATGTGTTCCAGGTATAGGATTCCTTTATTTTTCCAGTCCGGAAGGTTCATCATTTTGTTATTTTGCTAAATATCAGGATTATTCCAGATAGGTGTGCGTCTGCATGCTACTAGTGAAGACTCGGTCATTTTAAGATACTCCCACCATGCTGTCAGAGAGGTGCTGATACTAATACTTTTGAAGCCTTTGTGGTTTCTTATGTTTGAGCTAATAAATGGTAAGTCTGAAAGCTCTATCGTATTGCAAAGTGTCTGTTCTATGCCTAACCTTTTTGCCTCAAATGTCCGAGAATAAGTGATGAAAGCTTCCATTTATTCTCATCACGTCTTCACTGTGCTTTAAGAGGCTCAGTGTGTAGCAGGTATCTGAACCCGCAGCACCGTGTCTGTGTTAGAGCCTCCACTGTGTTCATCATGGACCTGTCTAATAACTGGAAAACCTGCTTTTGACCTCATATCAGACTCCGCGCCGAGACATGAATAAATGACTCAGAAACAACAAAGACTCTGTCGAGTATCTCTGAACATGTTTAATTCACGAGTTTACAGCATGTTCTCCTGGGAGCTGGCTCATGCTTGTTTTGGTGGTTCGGGCGTGCTCCACACAAGCTCCGCATCAGCGTTAAAGTCCCGCCTCCGTTTGATTGACAGCGACATTAAGATTGAAACTCGAAACAGGAAACTGCCAACAGTGCGGGACATGAGTCTCATTTGCGGGACACGTGAAAAGTAATGAAAACGCGGGACATCTGGTCACCCAGCTGCGCACCTCTTAACAGGATAAAGGGAGTTTGAGCACATCACCCCTGTTCTGGCCTCTTTGCACTGGCTGCCTGAGCCTTTAATGACTCCATACAAGTTATTTTATTGCTTTTAAATCTGTTACTGGCCTCGCCCCGCCTTACCTGTGTGAGCTACACGCATACATCCCCTCTCGATCCCTCAGGTCAGCTGATCAGCTGCTCCTGATTGTCCCAAAGAAAGCTAGAGGACATGGTTTTGTGGTTTTATTGATGATTTTGTTTTCTCTTACGGCACTTTGGTTTCAAGTGCTATACAAATAAAGTTGGTATAGTCTGGTTAGACCAAAGAAGGCTGCTTTCTGCACTTTTTATTGTGAGTTTTGATTATCACAGCATCTGCGTATTTAAAAAGTTATAATTAGAGCAGATTAAAGCTACCCAGGGAGTGGAAACAATAGTGGGGACTTTCCTTTCTGAATCAGAAACTTAAAAAGGGAACCAACTTCAGTTTTATACATAACAGGCAATAAAATATAAAATATGTATAAAAGATTTACCCAAAAACTTGAGAAAATAATTAAATAAATAAAAAGAAAAAAATACACTCAAAATAGCTTCTAAGTAGTAATTCAAAAGAATACAGAATAATGCACACTGTGGTCTTATACACCCCCCCCCACCCCCCCACCCCCCCCACCCCCCACCCCCGACCACTCTCAAACATGGAAAAGGTCAATAGTTGGCAACCCTGGGCCGATGTCCTCTAGGCTTGTGTTATTTGTGGAGATAAAACCTCCATGTTTCTAGTCAGTGGTAGTCGTGTTGCTGTTATCCGAGGCGAGATGTCTAAATATCAGGAAATAATTAAGACTCTAAATTCTGTTGTCCTAGGCTCAGCTGGGATGTGAGTCTTGGCCTGCTGAGAGAGGTTTGCTGAGGTTTGTAGGCTTTTTGGTGCCCTGACTTCTGCCTGGAAGGCCTTCATTCCTTCTAGAGACCACTGTAAGCGTATTGATTAAACCACTGATTCACTCCTTTGAATAAGCACTTATTTATTCTTTACTTTACAATCCACGACCCATACCTTGAAGCTTCCTGATCTCCGATAATAGAGGAGGAGCATCATCCCAGAGCAGCTTTTGGTTTTGCTCTCTTCACACAAACATCTATCACTGGACTCAGTTGGAGAAAGACAACAGATTTTCTGTGTCAGCAGAGAAAAGTGTGCTCAGTTCAGTGCTCCGTATTCTGCTGACTCATGATTACTCTGTCAGAGTAAGTGCTAATCGGTCCACTGAGTTTCTGATGACACAGCATCACCAGCAGCATGAACGCTCAGGGAGCAGAGGAGGAGCAGTGAGGAGGACAGCTGCCTGTCTCTGAAGGAGATTTAATCATGAGTACATGATCCTATACTCACAATAAACATAAGTACCTGAAATGATTGGAGCTCTAGCCACCTGAACAGCCTCTGTTCAGAGAAATGGCATTGCAATTCTTCAGAGCTGATGAGCTGACAGCTAGTCTGAGACACAGGTGTGATGCTGCCATCTGAAACAGTTTTATTGCAGATCGCCTCTGTTAGTATACGTTAGTTTCCCTGTTATTAGCGTGTTCTCCTCATGCATATGTGGAGTTAGCATGTTCTCCTCATGCATGTGTGGAGTTAGTGTGTTCCCCATCATGCATGTGTGGAGTTAGCGTGTTCTCCTCATGCATGTGTGGAGTTAGTGTGTTCCCCTCATGCATGTGTGGAGTTAGCGTGTTCTCCTCATGCATGTGTGGAGTTAGTGTGTTCCCCTCATGCATGTGTGGAGTTAGTGTGTTCCCCTCATGCATGTGTGGAGTTAGCATGTTCTCTTCATGCATGTGTGGAGTTACCGTGTTCTCTGCATGTATGGAGTTACCGTGTTCTCTCCATGCATGTGTGGAGTTAGCGTGTTCTCCTCATGCATGTGTGGAGTTAGCGTGTTCTCCTCATGCATGTGTGGAGTTAGCGTGTTCTCTTCATGCATGTGTGGAGTTAGCATGTTCTCCTCATGCATGTATGGAGTTTGTGTGTTCTCTCCATGCATGTGTGGAGTTAGCATGTTCTCCTCATGCATGTGTGGAGTTAGCGTGTTCTCCTCATGCATGTGTGGAGTTAGCGTGTTCTCCTCATGCATGTGTGGAGTTAGTGTGTTCCCCTCATGCATGTGTGGAGTTAGTGTGTTCCCCTCATGCATGTGTGGAGTTAGCATGTTCTCTTCATGCATGTGTGGAGTTACCGTGTTCTCTGCATGTGTGGAGTTACCGTGTTCTCTCCATGCATGTGTGGAGTTAGCGTGTTCTCCTCATGCATGTGTGGAGTTAGCGTGTTCTCCTCATGCATGTGTGGAGTTAGCGTGTTCTCTTCATGCATGTGTGGAGTTAGCATGTTCTCCTCATGCATGTATGGAGTTTGTGTGTTCTCTCCATGCATGTGTGGAGTTAGCATGTTCTCCTCATGCATGTGTGGAGTTAGCATGTTCTCCTCATGCATGTGTGGAGTTAGCATGTTCTCCTCATGCATGTGTGGAGTTAGTGTGTTCCCCTCATGCATGTGTGGAGTTAGCATGTTCTCTTCATGCATGTGTGGAGTTACCGTGTTCTCTGCATGTGTGGAGTTACCGTGTTTTCTCCATGCATGTGTGGAGTTAGCATGTTCTCCTCATGCATGTGTGGAGTTACCGTGTTCTCTCCATGCATGTGTGGAGTTAGCGTGTTCTCCTCATGCATGTGTGGAGTTAGCGTGTTCTCCTCATGCATGTGTGGAGTTAGCGTGTTCTCCTCATGCATGTGTGAAGTTAGCGTGTTCTCCTCATGCATGTGTGGAGTTACCGTGTTCTCTCCATGCATGTGTGGAGTTAGCGTGTTCTCCTCATGCATGTGTGGAGTTAGCGTGTTCTCCTCATGCATGTGTGGAGTTAGCGTGTTCTCCTCATGCATGTGTGAAGTTAGCGTGTTCTCCTCATGCATGTGTGGAGTTAGCGTGTTCTCCTCATGCATGTGTGGAGTTACCGTGTTCTCTCCATGCATGTGTGGAGTTAGCGTGTTCTCCTCATGCATGTATGGAGTTACCGTGTTCTCTCCATGCATGTGTGGAGTTAGCGTGTTCTCCTCATGCATGTGTGGAGTTACCGTGTTCTCTCCATGCATGTGTGAAGTTAGCGTGTTCTCCTCATGCATGTGTGAAGTTAGCGTGTTCTCCACATGCATGTGTGGAGTTAGCGTGTTCTCCTCATGTATGTGTGGAGTTAGCGTGTTCTCCTCATGCATGTGTGGAGTTAGCATGTTCTCCTCATGCATGTATGGAGTTAGTGTGTTCTCTCCATGCATGTGTGGAGTTAGCATGTTCTCCTCATGCATGTATGGAGTTAGTGTGTTCTCTCCATGCATGTGTGGAGTTAGCATGTTCTCCTCATGCATGTGGCTCCATGGTGACGCAGTGGTTAGCACTGTTGCCTCACAGCACGAAGGTCGCAGGTTCAAAACTCGCCTTTCTGCGTGGAGTTGCGTGTTCTCCCCATGCATGCGTGGGTTTCCTCCGGGTACTCCGGTTTCCCCCACAGATCACAACACGCCCTATAGGTTAAAAAAAATTTTAAGTCGCTTTGGGTAAAAGCGTCGGCTAAGCACATAAACAACATAAACAACAACAACAGCATGTATGGAGTTAGTGTGTTCTCTCCATGCATGTGTGGAGTTAGCGTGTTCTCTCCATACATGTGTGGAGTTAGCATGTTCTCCTCATGCATGTATGGAGTTAGCGTGTTCTCTCCATGCATGTGTGGAGTTAGCGTATTCTCCTCATGCATATCTGGAGTTAGCAAGTTCTCCTCATGCATGTGTGGAGTTAGCATGTTCTCCTCATGCATGTGTGGAGTTAGCATGTTCTCCTCATGCATGTTTGGAGTTAGCGTGTTCTCTCCATGCATGTGTGGAGTTAGCGTATACTCCTCATGCATGTCTGGAGTTAGCGTGTTCTCCTCATGCATGTGTGGAGTTAGCATGTTCTCCTCATGCATGTGTGGAGTTAGCATGTTCTCCTCATGCATGTGTGGAGTTACCGTGTTCTCTCCATGCATGTGTGGAGTTAGCGTATTCTCCTCATGCATATCTGGAGTTAGCGTGTTCTCCTCATGCATGTGTGGAGTTAGCATGTTCTCCTCATGCATGTGTGGAGTTAGCATGTTCTCCTCATGCATGTTTGGAGTTAGCGTGTTCTCTCCATGCATGTGTGGAGTTAGCGTATTCTCCTCATGCATGTCTGGAGTTAGCGTGTTCTCCTCATGCATGTGTGGAGTTAGCATGTTCTCCTCATGCATGTGTGGAGTTAGCATGTTCTCCTCATGCATGTGTGGAGTTAGCATGTTCTCCTCATGCATGTGTGGAGTTAGCGTGTTCTCCTCATGCATGAGTGGAGTTAGCCAGGGACGGCGTTAGGCCCGGCTACTTGGGCTGAAGCCCCAAATCTTTAATGAAAAGCCCCGTATCTAACACGTGGAAGTAACATGCAGTACCAAAGTCCTACAGAGAGGGAGCAGCTGGCAGCAGTTTGTATACAGCCTGCCTGAGCCTCCACCACTGAAGAAGAAGCCCTTCAGCAGCCGGCTTCTTCTACACTCTGCCTGAAACGCATGAGTGAAGATGGACATAAGGACGTTTTTTAGACCAAAATTACGGCGACAGAACCCCAGCTTTGATGAGACTGGTGCTGACTCAGGTTTATGAGTCTTATTAGAAAATATTTGTTGTGCTGCTGGTTTGTCTAAAGTTAGCTTACTATCAGGTAAAGTTGTTGGAGAAAGAAAGGGAATATTTACTATCATCTCACACTAAACACTAACAGGAACAATACTCTGCCCTGAAAATGCTTCATATGTAGCTTCAGATTAAAAATTATGTGGTACAAGACAAATATATATGATGTTGTTGACTGGTGCGTGTCAAGTGTGTGAGTGTGCGCGCGCGTGTGTTAAGCCCCGGATCTTCTTCAGTCCAAAATCCGCCCCTGGAGTTAGCATGAACAAATTATGATGAATGATGGTTGAAACATGATAACTGAGCCAATGAATGAAAGAATGGACTGTAAGCTTAGATCTTATTCAGCAAAACCTGATTAATTGTGATTTCTGGGTTGTAAAGTAAGTCTGACTGAATGGTTTAATGAAGCCCACGCCAGCTGTGCAGAATCTACGAACCCTTGTGGTGAAGGGGACCGTGTGGCACGGTCTCCGTGTGCATGCGCGCGTGTGTGTGTGTGTGTGAGTGTGTGTGTGTGTGTGTGTGTGTGTGTGTGTGAGTGTGTGTGTGTGTGTGTGTGTGTGTGTGTGTGTGTGTGTGTGTGTGTGTGTGTGTGTGTGTGTGTGTGAGTGAATGTGTGTGTGTGTGTGTGTGTGATTGGAGTGGGACAGGGTGACAGACTGTTATTACAGCCTGGGTGAGTGACAGCATGTGGGTGAGAAGGTAATTGCTGAAGTATGCCTGTGGTGACGAGGCCTTCGGGGGACCGGATGTTGAGCAGACTGAGGCATGCAGAGTACAGCGAGCAGCACCAGCAGCCCAGAACGGATGAGTCACCGCTCATACCCCTTTCACTGGGGTTTGTTTACTTCCACCAGTCTGTAGCTGAAGCCAAATCGCTGACGGACAGCCGACTGTCAGCCAGTGATTGGGCTGACTTAAAGGATTTCACCTGTTCAGGCTGCAGGACAAGCAGCTTAGCAAGATCCAAGTCTGCTTCATGTAAACAGCCTGCAGGGCTGGCAGACTGTAAGCCTGTGTTTACTGGACTGAGACGAGTCACGGGTCAGAATTTACTACAAGCACTTCCAGTTTGGCTTTTAGTACTTTTTCAGTACTTCTCATTTAGGTTTCAGGGTGGGGCTTTCTCACCTGTTTCCCATGTGGCCATTCCTCTGTGTTGCACCTGCCTGCTGCTAGCAAAGGTCACCACCCCTAACAGTTTCCTCAGTCAGCTGGTGCACTAGATATGTGGATTCTACACTATTTACTTAGCTTCTATAATGCTCTACTGTTAAAATAGTTGTAAATGTTTAGTTTAAAAGGGAATGTGGATAAAACCAAAGTCTATTACAGCTGGTTTAGTTCCTGCTGTCCACATGAAGCACATCAATAACAACACCGACCCGTGTGAGAACCGAGCTTTTTGTCTGGATGAAACATTCATTCACAGATTGTTTATGGTGTTATTTTGTAGTGCTTTGTGCAGATGCCAGGAGCGGTTTTAGGCACGGGCAGACAGGGGCAGTTGCCCGGGGTGGCATATTTTCATGACACAAAAGGGGCGCACAAGCGCTGAGTAAAAAATAAAAAAGAAAGAAATCTGCGCCGCACCGAGGTTTTCTATCATCTGTCAAATGACAGCGTCTGGATTGGAAACAGCAAGTTGGCGCCCCCTGCAGCTGCAGGCGCTCCTGCTGACTGAGAGGGTTCAGGTGCACCGTGTGTGTATGAAGAAGAGGAAGGGGAGGGGTGCGGCGGGGGAATTCACCTCTGGGTCTTCCCAAATGAAATGAGCGGGTAGGGGCTGAATCAACTGTAACATGGCTAAAGTCAATCACATCTTGATGTTCTTCCATTTAACGCACATTTCATTCATAACATCATAAACACAGGCCTATCGTTCTTTCAGGTTTTTCTGAATTGTGTGAAATGACCGAATAAAAAAAGGAAAAACAAAACGATTTTGTGGTCACCCCCCCATCAAGGTCAAATAGTTTAGTCCTGACTAAAGGAAACTTACTGAGTCAGGAGCCAAACAGAAGAGATGAACATAAAAAGGCTAAAAGCACCAGGTGCCCCATTCAGGGAAAAAAAAAAGAAAAAAAGAGGAGAAAGATAAAGGTATGTACGCTCTCATGATGCATGTTCAATGTTTTGAACCAGTTAACTGGGATTTTAACTGTTAAATTCGGTCAACTAGTTGCTAACAGAGCTAATAGGGCTGAAATAATGAAACAAATATTCAAATGGTTCGAAAAAATTCATTAATCATTTTTTACTGATTCAAACTAGGATTTGTTGAATGCTCGCTGCAGCCTGTGGCCTGCCTGAACAACAACAAACACATGTTGATCATGTTCACATAATAATAAATAAAACAACTTTACAACCAGAAGAAAACTCCCCAGTCACCACTAGCTATCCTGTTTATTTAGGGTTTATTTAGCAGACGGCTGCACTGATTATTTTTACATGATTTGTTCTGTAAAAGTTGGCATTTTTGGTAGTCTACAGTTTTTTTTATGTCAGTTTAAATTACAATTTCAGAGGCAATTCTAAAATATTATGGATCGTGATAAAGATCTGTTGGAGATCTACCCCAACTTTTGGACTGCTCTGCCAGTCCCTGTGGCTCAAGCTGAGAGGAGCTTTTCAAAACTTGATCGAGTCATACCTGAGGTCACCTATGTTTCAGGGGCGGCTCACTCACCTGGCTCTGATTAGTATCAATCACTCAGTAGGGGAGCAGATTTCATGTGATGACATTATTGATGATGTTGCATCAAGGTTAGGTTTTAATTTTAGTTTGTGTTTTCTGTTCTAAGTGCAATGCTGTAGTGATTATCTTTAGTTTGTTATGTGTGAATATTTATTATATATTATGTTCATATATTCTTAATATTTAGTTATTGTTTGTTTTTGTATATTTGATTCTATATATTTTGATACAGTATATAATGTATACTGCTTTACATTCTGACAACTTCATAGTAATTAATGTAAATATGTGCAACTTAGAAAAATGAATGTTCAATAGTCGTTCTAATAAAACATGCCTGTTTGTAGAAAACATGCGTGTGTGCGTGCAGGTGGGGGGTGGGGGGGGGGGGCACTCAAAGGGGGCCTCGCCCGGGGAGTAATTCCATGTAGAACCGCCACTGGCAGATGCAGCCTGATCGCAGGCGCTGGCCTTAGCGAGATAATCATCAGCTGTTATATTTTGAGCCCAAACCTCAGCAGCCAGTAAACAAGCCCTCTGTCCCTCTGATTAGTCGGACTGGTTTCCTTGTGGAAGGCTGCTCTGCTTGTGTTTATGTGGTAAGGCATTCCCTTTCCACCCGTCCAAACTCTCCAGCTCGCCGCCCACTTTCATGCTTGCACATTTGCTGGTGTCCACATGACAAACACACGGTGACAGGCTGTCGAGTGTGGAGGTTCAGGCTTTTACCTTTTGGTCCGAGGTGTGGAAGCTGAGTCTGTCGAAGGGAGAACGAGCTAAGCCGGAGGCGGGGATTGACCCTGCAGCCTCCTCTTCTCTGGCAGCCAATGCTGAGTGGAAGGTGTGTCCCTGCACCTGTGCAGCACTGGGTTGTTGTATTTAACCTCTATGAACTCAGAAAAGCATTTTCACAATGTTGGTTGCTTCTAAACTTGTGGTTGCTTTTCCAAAAACGGTCCAACGCCTGGAAGGCTGCATGGAGACGGTGGGTTCTGTCTGAACATTCATGTAAAAACAGCAGTTAAAATTCCAGCTCCGACTGCCACGCAGAGGCAAAGCTGAGTGAAAACATCAACCCTGTGGAACTCCCTGACCCCATCACCAATGAGTCACCCGGCGCTCCGCCTGCTGCTGCAGGTTTCCGCTTCCTCTGAGCTGCTGGAGTCACCAGGAGTCCGAGCCTACTGACGCTCCAACGGCGGCAGATCTCATCAGCTGTTGTTAAGGTGCAAGCACACGAGTATTAAAATGTGTATTACAGTGGGTAAAGAAAGTATCCAGACCCTCGTCAATTTTTACTCTATGTCATGCAGCAGCCACCATTAATGTACACACAGCAGCCCGTCCTGACAGAACTTTAGAAATGTCTGCAGATTTATTAAAAGGAACACCTGAAGTTACCTGAAGTATCACACGGTCCTAAGGGTTCAGACCCTTTGCTCAGTGTTTAGTAGAAGCACCTTTTGAGTGAACAGCCACGAGTCTTCTTGGTAAAGATGCAGCAGGCTTCTTACACCGGGGTTTGGGATCCTCTCCAGGTCTGTCAGGTTGGATGGTGGACGTTGGTGGACGTCCATGTTTAGGTCTCTCCAGAGATGCTCCGTTGGGCTGAAGTCAGGGCTCTGGCTGGGCCATTCAAGGACAGTCAGAGTAGCTTTTAATCCACTCCTTTGTTATTTTAGCTGTGTGCTTCGGGTCATTGTCCTGTTGGAAGGTAGACCTTCGGCCCAGTCTGAGGTCCTGAGCCCTCTGGAGAAGGTTCTTGTCCAAGATATCCCTGTAAGAAGCTACCCAGGTTACCCACTCACATTTCTGTGACAGTCGAAACGTTTTGCTCACCCAGTTTTGTCTCGGCGTAAAGTGCTGACTGAGCTAAAGAACGTTTAAAGAAGGAAGGAACAGAATGTCCAACAAACCATAGAAGCTGCTGGTTCTGCTTTAGGTTTGGCCCTTTGGACTCACCCTCCTATTCAGACAGACCGGGCTTGGACACGGAGGAACTGAACAACCTCCTTATAGAGAGGTGTGGTGGTGCACAGGGAGCAGGGAACATACGGGCCTTTTCCACCAGAACCTACTCAGCACAGCTCCACTCGGCTCAGCGCGGCTTCAGACCGTTTCCATCAGACTGTAACAGGTCTGTGGTCGCCACTACCTGCTTAGTACCTGCTTCAGTGGGCTTCCAAGTGTACCGAGCGGAGCCAAAAACGCATCGTCAGGGATTGTCGGTCACTGATTGGCCGGGGGGGCGGAGTCTCTAGTTGCTTCTGAATTTTTTGCCTTGCTGTTCGCAGCTTATTTCTGGGTTCAGCGTGACAAAAAGCCAGAGCAGAAAGTTCCACGTAAGGAGGGAGAGCGGTGGAAACGGGGCGACTGAGACCACAGCAGGAGCCGATGGCGGCCGGTGAAACAGAGCTTGTTCTAGTCGTGTTGCTCGCATCCATTTACAGCTCGTTCTCTCTGTGAGGAAACAAAGATGTGGATGTTTGACTTCCAGCAGAACGCTGTGCTGAGTCACACTACAAATACATTCTTCATAAGGGACCTGAATGACATCATACATACTTACGAGTGGGATGATGTTACGGCCTCTCAGGCCCCGCCCCTTAGAGCATCAGGCGTTAACACTCCACCCCTTTAACATCAAGTTTGGAGTACTTCCCACGAAGAAGAACTGAAGTTTCAGGAAGACAAGCATTCCGAGGCATTGCCAGCCCCTCCCCCAGCCAGCCCGTGAACTATTCACCCTCCTTCCCTCAGGCGCACGGCGGAGCAGCCTCCCTTTG